GACGGAATCCATAAATTGCCAGAAAGATGGGAAGAAGTAATGGCTAGCGATGGCCAATACTTTGAATAAGATACTAAATCATTTTGTGATTCAAATATGCGTTTTTCAAGCAAAAAAACGGACCGAATTAAGTTGTACACCCAATAATTTTGATGTGAGATAGGATCAATCATGAAAGGATCAGTAATTTCCAAGCATGATACAAATGTCGCAAAAAAGTGCCCGACTATTAATTTTTTTTGCATATTTCCTCTAGAGATTCTTGACTCGAATCATTAGATTGAATCAATTGAAAATTCTTGAAAGCTGAGCAGTTGTAAAACATACACATAAGAGCATCCAAGCTTATGGATTACATTAAGTCGGATCGCAAGAACAACTGTTCTCCAGTTCAAACTGCTAAGTATGCTCACTTTTGATTTTGTGATCCCTTATTATAGCTGTAGTAATAGAATTTCCCGTGCTTTGCTGGGCATGAAAATTTCTCGTAGTCGAAAAGTTCGTTAAGTCTGAATGTGTTGTTTTTGCACTAAATTACGTTTCATGTTATTCTCACCATACTTTGCTCTTATTCTTCTACGAGCTGGCGCTGCCGCAAAAAATGGTCCAGATATGGCATTGAGCTCATTGACAAATCGACGAGTCTCCGGTGCATTTGGGTCTTCCATCCAACGATATGGATCAGCAACCTATTGGGACAGACATTACATGTGAACAAACAACTTCATAGAACCTAACCTTTAAGCCATAGTAGTCATCATAAATCGAGTCATCTCGGCGAGCTGTTGGATAGACGGTCGTTGAAATGTTAAATGACTTGTGCGATCCATTCTCGCTCCAATTTGTTGCGATACATAAGATATTTAGAAAAAACGAGGTTTCGGCGAGAAATATTAGCAACACTTGAAAAGATGACATGAAGCACTAAAATATAACATAAGCTGACGATTTGGAGTGACAATTCAGTGTAAACGCGACGTATCCAAAGAAAAAATGGTTGCTTTTTAATTCACCTAATCACTAAACCGTTACGAGGAGCGCTTAAGCCTACAGAAAACAAGGTATTATAAGAGAGAAGAAGACATCAAATAAAGTTTGGTCTTAGATTTTGTATGTGCACAAAAAGTTCTTATGCATTTGCAACATACGCTCGATACCATAGCCTAATTTAATTTCTTTTTCGCTTACATTATAAGGTACAAGGCTTGCTTATAAGAGCAATCCTTCGGAGCGAAAATGGTGTAAATATTAGTGCCAAGAAAA